ATTCATCGCAACTTTTTTAGTCGGACTAGGACTAAATGTACGTAAATTGTTCATGCATTATTTTTGTAAGCAATCTAGATAGAAAAGATTACATATCAGAGAAATCAATGAGCAAAGTTATTGATTACTTTTCTCTATAAATAGAACAATACATCCAGGATACGGTATAATTTTTTCGAATGGTTGATTGTCTAATATTGAATATAAGTTGTAAAAAATGAGCAAAATATTGAATAAATATGACTCGCGCTTGTTTTATACTGTCAACGTAGACGATAAATGTCTCGATTATTTAGTTTGGTCCACGCCGACACCAAATTTTTGAGGAATCGTAATTTTTTTTTACTAGAAAGATTATTTGGTCCAGTAGTTTGCAGCAAGCCTAGAACCATTTAGACATAATGATTTACTAGCAGAAAAACGGAAACACTCAGATTATTTTTTCCAATTTGATCTGCAAAGATGCTAAAAAGCCAGAAACTCAATTTTAATTTCGGTCTATTTTCATTGCAAGCTTCAGGACCAAACTAATGGTTTCACGATACACCTCAAAACCTCCATCTCTCAAAGAAATTTGTGTTCTACCATTCACATGTCACTCCCCTCCCCATTAATCGCTACAATAATTCCCTCCTTTACCATAACCAGTCCGCTCAAACCATTACCTCTTCTTAATTCTGATCGTAAGCACGAAAAATGCAAAGAAGATCAATGAAGAATGAAATCATTAAACTCACATTTCCTTCGATCGTAAAGCCTTTCGAACCGTAATTAGGCATTCCACGGATAATGTCGGCAATGTTGCCTTCGATCACAGTGACAAGGCTATTGTTCAACTTCAAATTGGTCACTGAAAAACGCGGTCGTAAATTCGTTGCCGTGCAGTAATTTCTCGATTAGCTCTTCTTCCTTCATAATTATCCAAAGATTCGGAAATTTTAGCTAGAAAAAGTGATTTACCGAGCTCTTTCTTCCCCTAAATCTTCCCAATGTCACTTTTAGACAAGGACCCCTCCTCGGCGACCGCAATTTTCGTTACAGTAATGGGGCGCACGCGATGGCGTTGTGACATTGAAATTTACATAGAGAATTGAGTGCTCGGACGCATATTAAGTCAAGTAGTTGTGAAGAGTCTCTTCAGTGTATACTACTTGGTGCATTTGGGGGCTAAATAGCCAGTTAAATAAGGTTAAATG